TGTCTTTTAAGACGTTTTTTATCGGATAGGTGTCAGGTTCAACAGCAAGTAAATCTCCACACACAAGTTTCCAGGGAAGCGTTATGCTTTATTAGACTACAGGTCTGTTACCATGTCCACAGGTTTATTGTTAGGAATGACAATAGGGCAGAAACATCCCTACATATAGCAGGATGAGGCAAATGGCTAAGCAAATGAAATCTGAGCACATGAGCGGGGATTCTCCCGGCGGGAGGTTACATAATAAGCAGGAGAGTCTCAGTGCCCCATGAGAGCCAAAATATTCACACCAGCAGTGGAACGCAAGCCCTCCCTCCATCACAAGGTCAGACACATAACTCAGTCTGGCAGCACCGGTTCTCACGGTCTCCCTATCACTGTTTACGGCAAGCGGGCAGAGCAGCGAGCAAGCTATGAAGCATGCGCTGTAGCGCCAGGGTCAGAGAAGGAAGCAAGCAAAACATGGTAGCTAACTGATATCCTGCCCCCTCAAATCTACATCAACCACTTCCCAGAGTAGATGGGAGACCTCCTGGTTTCTCCGGGAACTGGTTGTGGAACGTCCGCAGGATATTAGGGGCCCGCACATCTTTTCCCGCCACCCACTCCTGATGCTGGGGACCCCAATGTACCCATTCCACCAGATAATACAATCATCCATGTTTCACTTTAGAGTCCAGAATATTGGATTTTTCGTAATGTTCCTCACCCTCCACCAGGATAGGAGGGGGCACTGTCAGTTCCGGGCGCCATGGATTAGTTGCTGGACTGGGCTTCAATAAACTGAAATGGAAAATTAGATGGGCATTCTTTAAGTTCTTAGGCAAGTCCAATTCTACTGTTACATCATTAATCGACCGTACAACTTTAAACGGCCCAATGTATTTCCACGCCAACTTCCGACAGGACTGGGAAAGCCGCAGATTTTTTGTAGACACATATACAGAATCTCCGGGCTGCAGAACCCAACCCTCCACCCACTTCTTGTCAGCCTGGTGTTTGTAGGCAGCTTTGGCCATGTCCAATGTTTCACATATTTCCGGCCACGACTCCCTCAATGCGGTACTCCATTCGGATGCCTCCCCCCCTGTCCCCAGTGTTGAAGTCAGAAAGGGGATCGGGGGGCTGTCAAAACCAAGAGCAGCTTTGAACAGTGACATCCCTGTGGATGCGTGGTGAGCATTGTTATAACAGAACTCAGCAAGAGCCAGTAAGTCAACCCAGTTGTCTTGTTGATAGTTTGTAAAGCACTGTAAGTATTGTTCAAGTGTTTGATTAACCTGTTCCAATTGTACATCAGTCTCTGGGTGATAAGCACTGCTCAGCCCCCGTTCTATGCCCATAAGTTCCATGAGCTCCCCCCAAAACTTCGAGACAAATTGGGAGCCCCTGTCCGTTATTATTTTGGTAGGCAGCGTGTGGAGCCTGAAAACATGTTTGAGGAATGCTTTGGCCAATGTCCGTGCCATCGGCAAACTGGGGAATGGAATGAAATGAGCTTGTTTGGAGAATAAATCCACGACTACCCAAATTACCGTCATGGATTTGCTAGGGGGTAAGTCTGTGATGAAATCCATGGAAATCACCTCCCACGGTCTATTTGGGGTCGGCAATGGTTTCAGTAATCCGGGGGTTTCCCCTACGTGGTTTACACATGATGCAAGTTTGGCAGGAGTGTACATATAGAGATAAATCCTTGCGCATGTGCGGCCACCAGAATTGGCGCTGTAGAAGGTGTAGTGATTTCACAAAACCTGTGTGGCCAGAACAGATGTCAACAATGACTAAATGTATTACCTCTCAGCAAACCCAGATAAACGAGACATTGCAAATATTGAAACAAAATACTAAGAAGGTAAATGATGTGGTTGCAGATACTCAAAAGGTGAAGAAAAAAGTGTAAAGCTGGAAAGGAAACAAAGCTCCACGGAAGATCAGCTGCTACAACTGCAAATGGAAAAGGCCAACATGATCCTTTGCTTCCAGGGCATGCCAGAGAATAAAGGGGAGAATCTTAAAGAAGTGATGAGCGAATTACTAGCCCCAGTGACAGAGATGAAGGCGGAATCGTTGCTAAGTGACATGGATGTGGTCTATAGATCATATTCAGGCTATATAAAGAAAAATAATCTGCCTGGGGAAATTGTGGTAAGATTCTCGAAGAGGCATGTGAGGGATGCAATCCTGAAAGCGGTTTCTGGAATTTCCCTGAAAGTGGGAGAGAATACTATCAGAGTATTAAAGGACATTCCATTTGAAGTAAGACAACGGAGAAAGAAGTATAAAGAACTTGTGCTTTTTCTTCAGACAAATTCAATTGGATATAAATGGTTATTTCCAAAAGGCGCTACTTTCAAGATTAAGGATAAAAAAGAAAAGATTGACTCTGTTCTGAAAGCTCAAGAATTTCTAAGGTTCCAGTTGGGAAGGTCAGAGGACGGTAAAAAAGAAGAGGACAGCAAGTCCAGTGGTGAGCTAGACTCGGGTTCTTCCGGAGAGGACTCTCTGTCAGAGCAAGGGGCAGCAGCCCCAAAAAGTCCTTACTAGTTACGGAAGAGAAGGGGAAAGGAGAAGTAAAGGCTGAAGGACTCTGAATTGTGCCTTTGAGAATTTTGATGGGATGAACGGGGGTACTGTTTTTAGACAGTTAAATGTAAGCTTTAAAGGAAAAGTATTATAAATGTATGACTCAGTTTATAATGTGATTAATGATGGGAAGACTTGATGTAACTAAGCTAGTAGGAGGATCTCCTCTCTTGGGTTTTTAGTTAGTAGTGGGTTCTTTACTTTATCCCGTAAATGTAGTTTCCCTTCCCTTTTCTTCTGTTATAGTTTTTGTAGTGATATAAAAAATAATTTAAAAATCCCCTCCGGGGGCTAAAACCCCCCATAAAACCTGTGTGGCCAGCCGGCTTAGATCCATGTACCAGGCCCATTACCTCCCCCTGCAACAGTTTTGGAACAAAAAGTTTTGTGTCCTTATACCAGCACCTGTTTTCCCCAAGCACTAAATCTCCTGCCACCTCCACTTCCTGTTTGTCCAGCTCCGAAAAGGTGGCAGCGAACTTGGCTTCCCATCCCCCCCGGGGGGGGGTAAAGGGGAGGTACGTTTAGCCTGCCCCCGTGTCATCACTGCTCCGCCCAGTTGAGAAGGCATGAACATGGACTCTAGGTCCTCCTTGCATCGGCTTTCATGCTGTGGGAGGCGGGACAAGGCATCCGCCAGCGAGTTTGATTTGCCTGGGAAATGGTGCAGGGTGAATTGAAACTTAAAGAAAAAATCACCCCACCAGAGCTGTTTGGCGTTTAGGTTCCAGGGGGTGCGAAGCACTTCAAGATTCTTGTGATCTGTCCACACCTCAAATGCCCCCCTCGCCCCCTCCAACCAATGTCCCCCGGAGAGGGCTAGCCGGATGGCCCCTGCCTCCTTGTCCCAGGCCGACCAATTGCGTTCAGTATCGGTGAATTTGCGGGACACGTAGGCTAGGGGATGGAGTTTGCCATCAGCTCCCTCTTGCAAGATCGCACCGCCCATAGCTACATCCAAGGTGTCTGTTTGCACCACAAACTTTTTAGTTTCGTCTGGGTGCACCAGAATGGGTTTGGTGGTAAAAAGGGCTTTCAGTTTATCGAACGCCTCTTGGCATTCAGGGATCCACAGCAGCTTAGCCCCCGGCTTAGCAGCCTCTGGTCCCTTCCCCTTTGTTTTCAGTAAGTCAGTAAGGGACAAGCTCACCTGAGCAAAGTTCAGCAGAAAATTCCTATGGAAATTTGCGAACCCTAAGAAACTTTGAAGTTGCTGGCAAGTTCTGGGGGCCTCCCACCCCAAAACGTCCTTTACTTTTCCCCAGTCCATTTCTATGCTGTGGGGGGAGATGTGATAACCCAGAAAGTCAATTTCCGTTTTATGGAACTCGCATTTTGACAGTTTGGCAAACCGTTTGTGCTTGTGCAACTTTTTGAGCACCTCTCTCACCAACTGCACATGAGAGGTCTTGTTGGTGGAGTACAGTAAAATGTCGTCCAAGTAGACCAGCACCCCTTAAACAGGTGCTTATGCAACACCTCATTTATTAAATTCATGAAGACTCCCGGAGCCCCCTGGAGACCAAATGGCATCACCAGGTATTCAAACTGGCCCAAGGGGGTATTGAAAGCAGTCTTAAATTCATCCCCTTCCCTTATGCGCACCCGAAAATAAGCATCCCGCAAATCAAGCTTGGAAAAGATCTTTCCCTTAGCCACTTCAGCCAAGAGATCTTTGATTAACGGCATAGGGTAAGCATTTGTAGAGGAGACAGCATTCAACCACCGGTAGTCGGTGCACAGCCACAACCCCCCATCCTTCTTTTTCCGGAAGAGAACGGGGGCCGCATATGGGGAAGAAGTCATCCAAAGAAAGAATATGATAATAGGCTTTTCTCTGACTGTTCCTTTCTACTGATTACAGGAAATTCAGTCATTGCTAATGGCCTTGGCATTTGGGGGAGATGAACTTTATAATCCGGTCACCCCACAAAATATAGGGATCATGCCCGTGGAGCCATGGGTTTCCTAGTATTAGGGGGAATCTGACCCCCGGGGACACAATAAAAGTCCGTTCCTCCCAATGGTCCCCTGCAACCATGTGTAACGGAAAAGGTAAAGGTTCCCTTGCTCGAAAGCCAGTCGAATCCGACTCTAGGGAGATTTGAAGAATGTTTGAAATGCTTGTAAGGGCAAAATGTAGCATGTATCTTGGATATTATGTATCCTCAATGTTTTGAAGTGAATTTATAATGTATGCTAAATATGCAGTGTCTTTAAAAACACACAGTAGTGTAATATCTCAGTGTTACAACATTCAGGTGGCTTGTTCAGAGGTGCTAGAATTCCATCACAGAACAGGCACTTGGTTTGATACAGGCATTTTTTTCAAACTCTCGGAGCTGTTTCAAGTCATCCAAAGAAAGAATATGATAATAGGCTTTTCTCTGACTGTTCCTTTCTACTGATTACAGGAAATTCAGTCATTGCTAATTAACTGGAAAGGCCCAGACTTGACGACGTATGGGGAGTTAGTCTTGGAGGGCACCTTCCGTGTTCATCGGGTCAAGAATGAGAGAACTTTCTTCTTGTTTGACAAAATCTTGCTGATAACAAAGAAACGGGGTGATCACTATGTATACAAGAACCACATTCCAGTAAGTGAGCTCAGTTTTTGTGGTTGTCTCATATAGGTAAGAGGTCCATCTATTATTCCTTCTAACTCCCATTTTTGAGAGGCAAGTATTTAATGTCCCAGAACATGGTTCATTCTCTGTCCCATATGATCTCATACATGGCAGTTTAAACTGAATTTATAATCTGGTATAGAGGACCTCCGTGCAAACATGACTGCATGCCTCTAATTTCTTCCTACAAGTTCTTCCATTTCCCTCACAGTCCTTTTCATCTGCAGCAGTGAACAGGCACAAAGGGGTCCTTTTTCTGTGAGCACGTATCTAAAAATCATCTAATGTGTATTTGTTACACTTAAGAAAGCACTGTATACAATTGCATGGTAAAGGAATGGGGTTGTTTTGCACTTATGAATGCAAAAACAAGGGGCAGTAGATCTTCCAGACTGATTAATTGGATCTACAAGGGTATTAGTGAGTGCATGAAAGTCTTATTACTTCCACATACCCCCTCCGATTTTGGTTCAACGGACAATTGCAACAATTGCAACAGAATCCATTGCAGTTGTCAATTGCAGTGGAGTCTGATGAGCAAAGAAATTGTTAGAATGCAGAAACTATGTCCAAACCTGCCCCAAATTCATCCCAGACCTATTGATATTCTTATCTGCACCCTCTCTCCAAGCTTCTCTTTCTGTCCCATCAGATCACTGTATATTTACTCGGGGACTGTGTATTGGATGGAAAGTGGGCATAGAAATGTTTTAAATAAATACAATGTATTTATTCTCTATGTAGTCCATCCCATCCTAAAAGCCAAACCTTAGGCGGCAGCATGGGTTTTTTAAACTATACAAATAATAAAACTCAGCCCCGTATCACACAGTCTTTGGCCCCAACACCAGCTACCCAACCAAAGTCTGAAGCTCTTAATGCCATTGTGGGAAGCTTCTCAGTGCAAGTGCACCCATTAAGACTTCCTCTTGGTTCACCCTGAACAGCCCAGACAGTGCTCAGATGCTAAGTTTAGGAGAGTGGTTCTGTGTTGTTTTTGTTTTGGAGACTGTAACGGACTTGCTGCGTTAATGTATTTATGCAGTGCTCTTCCTTGATGTTGATCGAGAGCACCCGAGATTCGCTCTGCTTCACTGTCACCCATTACAAGCACAGCAAGCAGCAGTACAACATCCAGGTGAGTGGATGAGCCATTAACATTTTAAAGTGGGCTGAAAGTGGTTCTTTGTCAAGATGCAGAGACAGTCATAGATATGGGGAGGAGTCAGAATGGGGCCATAGTGCAGAGTCAGGAGGAGTCTGGTGATAAGAATGCTAAGTAGAGATCCTAGAGGATGTCCTGGGTTGTGATGGAGAAGGTAGGGTGGTAGCAGGCAGGTCTGGGAAAGGGCTGGGGTGTATGTGGGGAGGGAAGTCAGTGTGGTTTAGTCCGATCTTGAAAGCGAAGCAGGGTGACTCAGGACTTGAAAGGGAGACCCCCAAGGAAAACTCTGCAGAGGAAGGCCATGGCACCCCACCTCTGCTTCTCACTTGCCTTGGAAGCCCCTGGCGGGGGCCGCCGTAAGTCAGCTGCAACTTGGCAGCACTTTACACACACACACACACTATGTGCATTGGAAAGATAATGTCAAGGAGCAGTGGGACTCACAAAGGCTGGGTGAGTTATCCTGTCACTCAACTGCATTTCTTTTATTATCAGGCAAAATCAGGGGAGGACAAGCGGGTTTGGACTCACCACATCAAACGTCTAATCCTGGAAAATCACCATGCCATCATCCCTCAGAAAGTGAGTGGGACCTTCTTCTCTTTCCTCTTTCTCAGTGTATGTCTGTAACTGATTGCAAGGAATTTCATGACCTTTCCTGTCATTTTCTAACCAACTGAACAAGATTTGGGGCTCAGGAGTGGGGTGGGGGAGTGTGCATCCTATCTGTTCTAGTTATCCTTGCTGTCCTCCAAAATCCATACCCATTCTTATGTTTTGGGCCTTAGAACTCCAACACCGTGGGTGTGTTAGTGTGGGTTTTTAAACTCTGGCTCTTTTATCCAGTTGAAAAACGGATGGACAAATATAACAATCAAAGAGAAACTTGGATTTCTTAGCATGCAGAGAAGGCACTCCAGAGGGGAACATATCCTCAGTCACCTTTCCTATTTCTCTGTTCTCCTTGGATAGGGAAGGGAAAATGGAATTCCTCTTTTGCTTCAGATTTTGGAATCCGTTCTTTTTCCTTCTATTGAGTGCTAACCACTTTCTTCCCCTCAGGCCAAAGAAGCCATCTTGGAAATGGATTCCTACTGTAAGTTTCCCCTCTGCTTGTCTCAAAGTCTGTTTTCTTGCATCTTTCCTCCTGTCCGCTGTGTCAGCAGGCCACCATGCCAGTACAATGTCCCACTTCAAGTCTAACAATGCACTGTTTGTCATGGAGGTTCATGTCCACTTATCTGGCTTTGGGAGTTCACACAGCAGAGGAAGCAACAGTGGCAGAATGAGGTTGGGGGGGGGGTCACAGCATTCCATGTGAAAGATCCAAATCGTCTCCTTTTTAAAATATAGTTGTCAGCCTATTTGTTTATTTTAAATATGTGTAGCCCTCTTGTTGGAGTAAGTAACCAAGGCAGCTTACAAGAACAATACAATATCAGTTTTAGCAATGACAAGTGGGGGCCCCACAAAACTCTTGGGGGGGGAGAATTCCACTCCCCCCATTGCCGCCTGGCATGACTCCCTGGGAGTCCAGCCACAGTGATTGTGGTGCCTGGTGGCCGGGCTTGGACACCGCTGCCACCACAGCCAGGCTCAGAGCAGTTGCCGGGCTCCACTGCAGCCAGGCTCGGAGTGGCTGTCGGGCTCTGCCGCTGCCGGGCCTGGAGCAGCCGCCGGGCTCCACCACCATGGCCGGGCCCACCGGTGGCTTCCAAGCTGTCTCCACTGCAGCCACCACTGCCGCAGCAGCAAGCCCCAGGCCATTCTCCAGCTGCTCAACAGCAAGTGCATTGTCTGCTCATGCTTTATTTAATTCAGGGGTGTTTTTAAGAACCATTTTTTTTAACTTTTCAGATTTTTCTGCAAACCTAGGGGGTACCCCAAGTTTGCAGAAAAACCTGTTGGGGTCAGTGTGGCCCCAATCTGTGGGTTTAGCTATCCACAAAGGGCCACACTTGGGCAACAGCTATATTGATTAGCCAGTGTTGGGTTAAGAACTGAACCTGCGTTTGCTTGCTTTGATCCACTAATGGCTTGTGTCTAGCCACTCTGTGGATAGAATGCAGGGTTTCCCCACATTTCCTTTCTGTCCCTGAAGTTTCTTCCAGCCCCCAGAAATATCATTCCCGGGGTCGTGGGA